ATTTATAAATTTTCAAGGGCTCATGAGGGAGGCTGGAGGAAGGGGAAAAATGAGGACCTGATGCCGGGGGCTTAAGTGGAGAGGAAATGTTTTGAGACTGACGAAGGCAATGAATGTACAAAGGTGCTTTACACAATTGATGTACGTATGGATTGTGAGTCGTATGAGCCCCTAATAAAACGATTAAAAAACAAAACAAAAAAAGACTAGGCTTTAAACTAGGTACAGTCTCAGAAAACCCCCAAGGGGATGGCTATGAGTCAGCACTGTGAATTTTATTGCGCAGATCACCAGCCATTGTATGTGAAGGTACAGAGATGTGTAGGTCCAATTTACATCGTTTCCCCCCTGCCTGGACAGTTTCCGTACCAGTTTTGGTACTCAGATACTTTTGTTGGGTAAAGTAACTTTTAAGGAGGAGAAAATGGGGGTGGGGTCATTTGATTTTAGTGAACTCCGCATAGTAATCTGTATCACCAAGAAGTGATTTCAGGAGAAAATAATATGCTGAAATGGTGTCAGGCAAAGTGGCAGAAGAACTAAATCAAACAAAACTAAACTGCTGCTATTGAGTGATTCTGACTCGTGGCGTTCTTATCGGACAGGGTAGAACTGCCTCTCTGGGTTTCTGAAACTAATTCTTCATGAGAGTAGAAAGCCTTATGCAGAGCAGCTGGTGGTTTTGAACTGCTGACCTTGCAGTTATCAGCTCAACGGGTAACTACTATGCCACCAGGGCTGTTGTAGTATTAAATAAAACTAAACTCGCTGACATCGACTTACTGCTAACTCATAGTGACCCGATAGGACAGGGCAAAATGCCACTTTGAGTGTCGGAGACTAACTCTTTACTGGAGTAGAAACACGTCCACCCCCGTCTTTCTCCCATGGAGCCCCTAGTAGTTTCAAACTGCCGACCTTGTGGGTTGCATCATAACCACTAGGTCGCCAGTGCTCCCAAAGTACTAAATAGAGCACCCAAAATTGCTTGAACTTTATAACAAGTGAAAAAGTAAGCTGAGCCTAGCTAGCCTTCAGAAAACTGCTCTCTGGAATTTTATATCCTTATCATCTGGTCCTTACCAGGGCTAGTGGCATCTCTGCCCCCAGTCTCTGTGGTTATAACTAACTTTGGAAGTGGAGAGGTACTTCTAGCTCTTACTTTGATTTTAATTCCCTTACTTTTTTACTCTTTGTCTCAAATTTGGGAAGAAGCAAATTGCAAGGTAACGTTGCTACTGGTAGGGAAGAGACTGGTTCAACTGAGGGAAAGTTCTGTAATGTTCAGTCAGCATCTTTGTCTTTTCCAGGATTTGTACTTATTGTCATTCAATTTTACTGGCAATAATTCATCTTTTGAAGAGCCTTTAAAGCCATGATACATTAAGACTTAGAAGTACTCAATGCGTTTCTTCAATTGAATTTACAATGCCTTCCATTTAAAATTGAACTGTTGCATGTGCTTGCACCTAATACACTATTGGGTTCATACAACAGCCTGACAATGTTCCCCCTCTACTACTAGTTCTCTGGGACATTTTGGTTAGTAAGGAGACGGGCATGGGGAAATTAAGTCACCTTCTCCCCAGTTCTTCATGTCTCCCAATAGACCAACCTGGGGTTTCTGATCTGGGTGAGAAGACAATAATGTACATCACTCACTGGAAGATAGGGAGAGTTAACAGTGAAGGCAGCATTATCACAGTAATCCAAGCCACTTAAGATGCTTACATTGGGTCCAATAATGAAAATGTGTATGCTTGCCTTGATTTATTAATTTCTTTTTGAAATAATGGAGAATAGAAAGAACTATTAAAGGAGAATACGAACACCTATGAATCCAGGCTGTTATTTGCTATAGGGAAAGGTTGAGGTAATTTAGAAACTCTCTTGAGCATTATATTTAAGCTTGCCAGAATGGTGTAGGAGTGGACAGGGAGCCCTGGGTTAAGCACTCAGCTGCTAACAGAAAGATTGACAGTTGAAACCCACTAGCCAGGGGAGAAAGATGTAGCAATCTCCTGTGTGGAAGATAACTATGGAAACCCTGTGGGGCAGTTGTGCTTTCTTGTAGGTTCACTGAGAAGCTGTAGTAGTGCTGTGGGTTAGGCCTTGGGCTGCTAACTGCAGGCTCATCTGTTCAAAACCAGTTACTTGTCTGAAGAAAGATGAAGCTGTGGCTTCTGGAGAGTTTCAAAGTCTCGGAGACATAAGGCCAATGTGAGCTGGAATCAAATCATGTCAACGAGGTCGATTTGGTTTCAGTGCAGACTGGTCATTCTTAAGGAAATACTTCTTAATGATTTTGATACTGCTACCAGAGAGTACAGTTCCCTTTTCCTTTTTTTAGAAAATAGGGGCAGTACTGTCACACAAGATTTTAAAGATTAAATAATAGCAAGCTGCTTAATGGCTGGCTAAATTAAAGCTCAAACACAAATTCACTGCCGTGGAGTCAATTCTAGCATGTAGTGACCCTCTAGGGCAGAATTGAACTGTCCTTGTGCGTTTCCAAGACTGTAACTTAAGGGGTAGGAAGCCTCATCTTTCTCTCGAAGGCTCATCTAATGGTTTCTAACTCCTGACCTTGCAGTTAGCAGCCTAGTGCGTAAACCACTCTCCCACCAGGACTTCTTGGCTAGGTTCACTGATGGTTAAATGACTTGCTCTCAGATTTGCTTTGTTTTGTGTCTTAGAGGTTGCTTCCAACTTAAAAAAAAACTAACCCTTGACTTACCTAGAGTCTTCTGTAATGAATTCTAGTGATGAGAAACAGCTTAAGGTGTGCTTTCAGGAGATGCACTGGGTATGTGTGCTTTCCTAACACAGCACTCTACTTTTCTAGCCAGGTTCTAGAATTCATCATAATAGCCACACAGAATCACAATACTCACAATTATGGGGTCTACTATGGAAGTTAACAGGTTACAGTTCAAGTAGAAAGGTCCCAGGATAGAGTTGTTTAATCAACGTATGTTACAATGTTGGTGATAAATGCCAATCAGCTGTTAGCTTTTTTTTTTTTTTTTTAATTAAAGCTATTAGCCTTTACCTACAGGCCTTCAGCTCTCAGAATTTAGTTCCCAGAGGTACCCTACTCCATAAAAGCCAACCTCCTGCCCCCAAACATTCAGCTTAACTTATTCTGTGGACCAGGAAGTTCATCATTGTCTCATGCTCTGGCTCCTGGTTCTAGTGCTATTCTGGCATTCCTCTGATGTGTTGGGTCCAGCGGGTGTGCTCCATCCCGGCTCTTGCCATTAGTGAAATTCCCCATGTCTTCTTTCTGAGATGGTTCATTTTATATCCAGCCGAATGACCATCACAATTAATCCTTAAATTAATTAATTCAAGCACTCACACTTGAATCCTACCAATATCTTTCTTCACCTTATTCAAGCTCATCAGGCACAGGTCTTTTGGGCAGCATTACAGAGGCTGTGGCTAGAACTGCGTTATTGTTGTGCTT